AAATTATATCTATTTTCTTATACACCCAATCATCCTTTTAATTCTCTTTCTTCCAAGGTCCAAATAACATAGTCACGTGAACTTTATTCACCCTACTGGGACAAAATACCTGCACAGTAAAATTTCTAAGAGAAAACGTTTACTTTGATTCACGTGTTCAAAGGGTCTCAAACCATCTGGTGGGAGAAGGTATTATGGACTTTATGGCAGGGAACCCTGTGGCAGAGGTTCATCATAGCATAACGGGCTAGAAAAAAGAGTGGACAGAAGTAAAAAGTGGGCTACAGCCTTCAAGGGCCTAAATCTAGGAGCCTCCATTTATGGAACAAGTCTTATTTCTCAGAGGTTTCACAGCAATACTAATCAGGAATCTTGTACTCAGAATATGAGCCTATGAGGGCATTTCAGATTCAAAGCCTAGCATGAATAATACCCTACCTTTGTTGACATTAAAGTTCTTTCATTCGTTTAAAATGCAAGTTTCATGCAGCATAGACCTTTATTTTACACACCAACAGCTATATATTTCCAACAGTGTCTAGTACATAATGGTATTCATGCTATTTCATTGCTAAATCAATGAAATCTTTAAAGACAGATATCCTGAAGATATCCGATTTCAAATGCATTTTTTTCGCTCCTTTATATTTGGCAATCTGGCTTCGTATTGGCCCCAAATTTGGCATTATATGTAGCCACTTGATTTGTTTGCTCCATTTAAACAGAATATGTTCAGCTATTCAAAGTTAATGTAAGTGCAGTAAAAAGGTGTTTATATAGATGACACCATGTTTTAGAATTGTGTAAATCATAAGGCCTGAGGTGCATTGGGAAAAGTTAAGTTGTTGGGTAGTTTATGGGTTAGTCCCTTCTGTGGTGACAGTTTCAAAGGAGGTTACTAAGTCCATAATGGGGCATAATTTTGCCTGTGTTGAAAGGCAAGACAGAAACAATCAGCTGGTGGTAGTCAACAAGTAAAAGAGGATAAACTTTGAAAAACATACCAGAAGATCAGTAAAATTGTCTATAATATAGCATTTTTTCCTCCTTTGAGTGACTACTTGGTGTCTTTACAAAATTTCCATAGCCTTAAGTGATTAGCATGGCTTCAAATTGTTCTTCCCTGTTTGGGATTTTTTTTTTTTTCAAATAGCCTCATTGATAATTTTCCGTCTTTGAACTAGGACACACCTAGAGCGATGCCAGCCTAAGAGCTGATGCCAAAGAAGGGACCTCACAGTGCCTCAGTGCAAGAAGGATAAGAATAGCTCTGATAAATAGACAGGTGGTCAGCACTGAGAGGAAATACCAATTTAAGACCCAGGGAAGGAGCTTGAGATCAGAACCATGTAGCAAGACAAGACGTAAAGTCAATATATCAAAAAAGAAGTTCTTGAAAATTAAGGACAAAATGTATAATACAAGACAATGATATTTATATAAATAACCTATGCGTATTTGTCCCGTGAAAAGCCACATGAGATAATTATTTCCCCCTGGCCCCCTCTGTGCTTTCTGTCACAAGGGTATGAGGCGCACGGATAAGTGAATGGCCTTGTGCAGCTGTTAGCCAAGAACGACGTCTTCAGACCGACTTCGCAGTGTGAAGCAGGAAGGGTGAGCAGGAAAATCAGAGGCTTTCAAAACGCAGAGAAATGAGAAAGAAGCTATAAATATGATTCCCTGTAGGCTTTTTTGAGACATGCAAGTTGTGAAGTCCCATTTGGGATGTTAGATAATAAAGACTCGGCGTTATCCTTCTGTACTGTGCTGACTGGAATGTTTAAAAGCATATTTACTGTTCCTGTGAAGCTTACAGTCCAACTACGAAGACAAGATGTCCCCAGGAAGAATGAGGACCTGCTAATCATTTCATTTCCTCCCACCTTTTCTACACATCATTTAAAAGTACTTTCCCTGAAGTTATTTCCGATCTTACTAATAGGGGAAATCTCGAAACTCAACAAGAAGTGTGTATAGGTACCAATGCATATATCGCTCCTTCTAGAGACTTGGGCCCTCCCGACCTGCTAGCACTCTGGTACTGAGGCTCCTTGGCATCTGGTGGGAGACCGAGGGGAACAGTCAGTAAACTGGGTACAACTGTGTGGCTTTGTCTTGAACATCACGGATGTCTTTATCCACTTCCCCCAGGAGACATAGGAATGGGACTGACTTTCCCGAGCTCCTCAGGGCCTCATGTATGATGTATTTGTCAGAGCTCAATGATGGCCAAAAGAGGGAAATAAGGAACTATGTTCCAAAGAGAGAGTAACAGGGTGAAGAGAGTGTAAGACATCACGTACAAGTATAAAAATGTTAGCATTAAGCTATGCATAATTAATACATATTACCAAAAACACATAATAAAAAATCTCAGCAAATTTTATAATATAAAAAGACTGCTGTTACATCATAAGCTTATAGTATGGCTATTGTGTTTACTGACTAAATATAGTTTTGCTCTGAAAGCTGCCAAGCACTGTTATGTTAAAATAACCGAGAGACAAAATGTGACCTCTTGGAGGTCACAAGTCAGTATCAGATCTCTGCATTCTCTCTCCTATTGAGAGAGCACTTGTTACTGTTCACTCATTTTTAGTGAGTTTTTTACACAGCCTCGTCCATCAAAAATACACCCTTTGTGGCCAGCACCAAGGAGAAAACTTCCTTTTTCCATTCCTCCGTAGACGATCTTACACCCACGTACATATGGGCAGCATTAAGTAGGCTCAGTGGTTTACAAAGCGGAGAGGGAAGAGAGGGAGAACATGAGCATAGGAAATTGAATTGAGCAGGATTAGAAGAGTTAGGGGCGCAACTGTAAATTTAATCAAAATGCAATGTAGGCATGTAATAAATTCTCAATAAAAAAAAAGTAAAACCTTCTCTTTCTCCTTGAATCAGAATCTTGGGAAATGAAATGTTTTTGATAAGCTGTCTGAGTGCCTTAGATATACTCACAACATATAAAAGTTTAAGGTAATCACTACACCATCAATAGCAGAAAACCCAAGGGAGTGGCCTATGTTCGTGGCCTCTTTGATTATCATATTGACCAAAGTGTTCACCCTTGGCTAATATCATAGTGGCCCCTCTTTGACATGCAACCAACTTACCTAAAATAAACAAAGCAAGTATTTTAAATAACAATACTCATTTTTAGAAAATGGCAAACTCTATAGAGCAGGTACTATGCTTTGCTTTGGAGCAAAGGAACAATCAGAGCTAGTTATTAGACATAGTCTATAGAGCTAAAACCATTTCTAAAAGAAAATGGAGATGATGAAGAGACAAGAACTTTTCTCGTGGAATATAATATAAAAGACTACTCGCTAAAGTAGTTCTTTGTGAGTTTCAGACTGTTAATGCAGCCAATATTCAATATTAAAAAGCAACATCAGCACGCAGCTAATATTTATTCGGCTTATGTGACATACAGTGAACTACGCACTTTAAGATATTAAGATAGCATGGGGTGAGGTTATATAGCCCAGGGCCCTACGTTCAATCCCCAGTATCACATTCAAAAGCAAAAATATAACTTAATACTCAAAATACACCTATGAAGTAATTTTCCCCTCACATCCATTTTACAGGCAAGAAAACTGAAGCACAGAGATGGTGAGCGAGCTGCTCAGGGTAACACAGCTGACAAATGTAGCAAGGATTGGTGTTCTGAATCAGGAGACTAGCCCTTGCTTCCCTCTTGTTCTAAGACTAAGGAAACTCACAGGTTCCCACTCTAGAGAACAAGAATGCCCTCTGTACAGCCTCACTACCGTCCTCCCTTCACCTTATTCTCACTGGATTCAGTACAAACAGAAATGCCAGTGAAAAGGAACTAGTGGCTGAGAAGCAGCTAAGACAGACTTGGTTCTTCAAGGCTTGCTGCATTCCAGAGCCTTGAGCTGGTGGCCGCTTTGAGACCCAAAAGTCCTTCACCTTTGAAATGTAGATTGCAGTGGGACCTGCACACTGCTATTGTTGAAAGATAAAATAGGGGTCTGGAGAGATGACTCAGTGGTTAAGAGCGCTGACTGCTCTTCCAGAGGACCCAGGTTCAATTCCCAGCACCCACGTGGCATCTCACAACTGTCTGTAACTCCAATTCCCAAGGTATCTAGCACCCTCACAGAGACATACACGTAGGCAAAACACCAACATACGTAAAAATCTCTAAAAAAAATAAAAGAATTTTTTTAAAAAAAAAAAGAAAGCTAAAACAGGATGATCCATTCATTTAAAGAACTTGGAAAGCGCTAGATAAATATTATTAGTGCAATAAATAGAAGCAACATCAATAAACTAGGAACCAAATGATCTTTGGATTCTAATACTAGCACTAAAAAAGGTTCATTTCTCTCGTGATTTAAAAAGAAAAAAAAAGCCCACAGCGACCAAAACAAGCCCAGTCATAAGCCATTAAACCAATTACATCTTTTGTGGGAAAATCAGAAAAGCCATTAGACCTATTAATTTGCGTGCCATTAGTCATCCTCTCTATTGTAAAGCCGACGCAGTCCGGCGTCCTGAGACACCTTGCATAATATAATCCCTGGAACTCCAAGAGGTCAGGCAGACATGCTCTTGATGCAGCTTTGGGGAGAGCTCAATAATTCGTTTTATAAATTTCAGCTCAAAGCCTACACTGAGGTTAAGAAAAATTGACATTGGATCGGTGAACTTAACATCAAGCTCTAGAAAGAAAAAAAAAAACAACTCTGGGAAGCACATGTTTGGCGATTCAGCAGACGCAGACAGTACAGACGTTGCCAAATTGTAAGACAAGACTTGGAAATCACGGAAAACGCTGCTGGTTATTGATTACGTTGACCATTCACTTCCTATTGAGCCACCCAGAAAGAATCATTCATTTTCCAGCAGAGCCTGCTCATTTGCAAGATAAAAGAGAGCCAGCTCTGCACATGCCCATAGTGCTGCTCACCACTGGGGGCAGCTTTACATAAGACTGCATTCACTGAGACTGAAGCAACAGTCCGAGCCGCTTTCAGAATGACAGTCTGCAGGAGTGAGCTGAGCGTGTGCGCGGAACCGGGCTCTCCTGCCTTCTGGGCTCCAACACAGCTCCGTGGCTGAACTGGGTGCTCACCGCCACGGGACCGACCGCCGGGCTATGGAATACAGATGTGGCAGTACAGGTAGCCCCACGTTGCCTAGAGGAATACATCATGGGTTTTGAGAAGAAATTGTAGAAGCCAGTTTTTTTTTTAACATACACGCACGCGCGCGCGCACACACATACACATACACACACACACACACACACACACACACACACACACACTGTAAAGATGCAAAAACGTAATATCCATGAAGATCCTATTACCTAGGAAGACTCGGCTGTTTTGCTGCGAATGCGGTGTTGGGATTTATTTGTTCTTGGAGTGTTCTGCACGGCTGGTAAAGAATAATGTTCCAAAATCGGTCCATCTCCCAAGGGGTCCAATTTTTCTTCCTGGGTGTCAGCGAGCCCTGACTCACTACACTGCAGCTGACAGGGGCTGTCATGCAGGCGGCCCCTAAGCCAAAGCAAAAGACCTAAGGACGGCCTTTGAACAATACAAAGGATGGGTATGTTTTGTCATTTTCTTCATTCCTTCTTAAAAAAAAAATGGAAAAAAATCTCATAAGTCTATAATAATTCTGTTTTAATTGTTTTAAAGATTATCTTTCTCTGGTCTAAGACTATAAATTTGATAATCAGTGGACATATTTCCTTGTTTAACTATTTAAAATATACAGTATCCTTAGACTGCAAAGATGATATTTGGTGCTAAGTGTTTACATTTCTGAATACGGAAATCGATGGCTAGTTTTGCTTGCTTTTTACTTAATGCGTTCCTTTTGGGGGGATAACTTTTCTAAGTTATTTTTCTTTCCAGGTTTCAATGTAATCAGGCTACTGCGCGGATCGGCGGTAGCAGCGGTTCTGGCCCCCACTGTTTTACTGACAATGCTTTCCTCTGCTGAACGGGGATGCCCTAAGGGTTGTAGGTGCGAAGGCAAAATGGTCTACTGTGAATCTCAGAAACTGCAGGAGATCCCTTCAAGCATATCAGCCGGTTGCTTGGGCTTATCCCTTCGCTACAACAGCCTCCAAAAACTTAAGTATAATCAATTCAAAGGGCTCAACCAGCTCACCTGGCTGTACCTTGACCATAACCATATCAGCAATATTGACGAGAATGCTTTCAATGGGATACGCAGGCTCAAAGAGTTGATTCTGAGTTCCAACAGGATCTCTTATTTTCTTAACAACACCTTCAGACCTGTGACCAATTTGCGGAACTTGGATCTGTCCTATAATCAGCTCCATTCTCTGGGATCTGAACAGTTCCGGGGCTTGAGGAAGCTGCTGAGTTTACACCTCCGCTCCAACTCCCTGAGAACCATCCCAGTGCGGATCTTCCAAGACTGTCGCAACCTGGAACTTCTGGACCTGGGCTATAACAGGATCCGAAGTTTAGCCAGGAACGTCTTTGCGGGCATGATCAGGCTCAAAGAACTTCACCTGGAGCACAATCAATTTTCCAAGCTCAACCTGGCGCTTTTCCCAAGGTTGGTAAGCCTTCAGAACTTGTACATGCAGTGGAATAAAATCAGTGTCATAGGGCAAACCATGTCCTGGACTTGGAGTTCCCTACAGAGGCTTGACCTATCTGGGAATGAGATCGAAGCCTTCAGTGGACCCAGTGTCTTCCAGTGCGTCCCCAACCTGCAGCGCCTCAACCTGGATTCCAACAAGCTCACATTTATTGGTCAAGAGATTCTGGATTCTTGGATCTCTCTCAATGACATCAGTCTTGCTGGGAATATATGGGAATGCAGCAGGAATATCTGTTCCCTGGTAAACTGGCTGAAAAGTTTTAAAGGGCTGAGAGAGAATACAATTATCTGCGCCAGTCCCAAAGAGCTGCAGGGGGTCAACGTGATCGAGGCAGTGAAGAACTACAGCATCTGTGGCAAAAGCACCACCGAGAGGTTTGACCTAGCCAGGGCGCTCCCCAAGCCCACGTTTAAGCCCAAGCTCCCCAGGCCGAAGCACGAGAGCAAGCCTCCGCTGCCCCCCACGGTGGGAGCTACGGAACCCAGCCCAGAGACAGATGTGGACACGGAGCACATCTCCTTCCATAAGATCATCGCGGGCAGCGTTGCCCTTTTCCTGTCGGTGCTGGTCATCCTCTTGGTGATGTACGTGTCCTGGAAGCGGTACCCCGCCAGCATGAAGCAGCTGCAGCAGCGCTCCCTCATGCGAAGGCACCGGAAGAAGAAACGGCAATCGCTCAAGCAAATGACTCCTGGCACCCAGGAATTTTATGTAGATTATAAACCCACCAACACGGAGACCAGCGAGATGCTGCTGAACGGAACGGGACCCTGCACCTATAGCAAGTCAGGCTCCAGGGAATGTGAGGTATGAACCATTGCGATTTCCAAACAAAACAAATCAGAGAGAGAGGGAGAGAGAGAGGGAGAGAGGGAGCGCTCTTAAAAGCTGGGAAAATAAGTGGTGCTTTATTGAACTCTGCTGACGATCAAGGGAACACGGTGCCCCTCCCCCTCTCCCTCCCCCCTCACTGTGCTGGCAAGGGCCTTCCCTGTCTCTGAGAGTGTGTTCATAATACTGGGTCATTTTCCTTCCATAAATAATCAACCCATTGAAATTTAAATACCATAATCAATATGAAGCTGAAACTCTGGCTTAACATCATGCCTATTGGATGAGCCCCTTTTATGGATTTCATTAACATCACATTGGTTTCCAGAAAAACACAACAACAACAAAAAAAAAAACAACTTCTTTTCCTGTGTGGTCCCCCACATCTGATCTTATTCTCCACCTGGGAGGGTCAAATCTTCAGCTTTAGGTGTTTTGCAGTTCATTGGCAAATCCGGAAGAGAGAGAGAGAGAGAGAGAGAGAGAGAGAGAGAGAGAGAGAGAAGACAGAGAGAGAGAGGAGGGATCCCAGGGCCTTGGAGGGGGGTCGAGTGAATCTGAGGAGAGGATTTATTGTGGCATGCAATAGAGACTGGGAATGAGAAACAGTGCCTGTCTTTCAAAGAAAACCCCAGAAAAGGATCTCAGAGGGTGGTGGATTAAAGCAGGTCCCTGGGCAGTTTCCAGGGGGTTGGGAATTACAAGGCAAGCACCCGGACAAGTGTCAAAGGGTTAAAGCAGATGGCTGCCAAACACAAGGACAGTGAGTGCATGAAGTTTGAGACTGGCAGCTTTTTCTGATATCCCCGTCCTTGTAAAATCAAACTAAGGTACTCACTATCAATTTCCTCCAGCCTGTGTGTTCCCTAAACATGTTGATTGGTTACACAACCAGACCATTAGCTAGGCACATGGGAGGAAGCAGTCTGACCACTAGAAAGGAGGGAGTTCAGAGATAAGGCACCCTCTCACACGTACGGCTGGGATCTTCCCAGGATGTCTCCCTGAAGCTTATTTTCTGAGACCCCCGCCCCTATGTAGTTAATAGCTCCTGAGCTCTGGGCTGTCCGGTTCAGGGCTTGTGAGGCTGTCCTGTAGTGTCCTGTGATGTGTGCTACACACACCAGGCCCCTGATGACTGGCAGTTCATTCAGATGTCTGTACATCCTTCCGCAGCATCCCTGGAAAGGATGCTCCTGCTACCACCTTGATACAGGCATCCGATCAAGCCTGGGGGGAAAAGAGACGGACACTGTGACAGTTTGCCTTTGCTTGGCTGTTGTTGACATCGCTGTGTCCCTGTGTTCATCTGTATTGTAACTCATCCGTCAGTACAGTTCTGTACAGCACCTACCTGGCAGCCTGCAAGCTGCATGCATGGTTTTATGTCACTGGTGAAAGTCTACTAACTGCAGCACGGATACCACACCCTCTGTATTTATGAGGTTTGGGAAAATATATTTATTCTGTCACCCCCTTTTGCCCCCCCCCAGATGAACAGTTTTAGTCTAGGACTATACCATAATGACTTTTACATTAAGGATGGGTCACCATATGACTGGCCAGGCCTTATGTCTTTGACCATATCCCTATTATTTCAAAACAGTTACTGCCAAATAATAGTTAAAAATAATAATCGCAAAGACAAAGTGAATGGCTATTTTTGTAGGGTATGGAGGTCTTCCATAGGCTGAGAGGGAAAATCTAGACAAGTCAACATGAAATATAATAGCAAGGAATCCGGATTATTAAAACCATACTTCTATTAGCAATGAGGAAAGGCAATATTTTAAGCAAATTTCTCTAGGTACTTTGATGAAACCCGGTGCCAGCTCAAAAGAGCATTGCAAGCACAGTATACTCATGACTAACCACTGAGTACACATTTATTAATGACAAATGCTATAGAGTCCCAGTGGATTGATAATGCAGATAGATCTTACAGTCTCATGAGCTGGGTGACCGAACTTACTGAGACGGTTGTTGTTGAAATTGTAATTTTACATTTTTTTTCTATACTGTCAGTAAATTCATATTCCATCTATTTTTTTCCTTTGGTCAGCCTCATTTTTATCTGTACTATGAAGATGACTGTATTAATTAAATGCACTGTTGAAGTGGGAAAAAAAGCCCATTTCTATTCCTTGACTTGACCCTCTGCCTTATTTATCATGGAAGACAAACACATCTAGTCAAGGCAAACTGACAGCTATATATATTGTTATTTTTTTTCAAATCATAAATGCTGTGATGTCACCAAGATATATGAAACACGTTTGCTGTATCGAAAGTATTTCTAAGATTCAAAGCCACTTGGTGTGTAAAGCTGATGGTGGGATTAAATGAATGAGCAACATTTTGAAGGCTGTGCATTTTAATGCCTCCCTTAGAGATTTACTGGCTGATAAGAAACCAAACGAAATGCCTTAGAAATGACATATCACATTTTGACTCAGGGCATGAAGTTACAAGGGAAAAAGTTTTAAACGCATGTCTCTCCTTTGTAAAGGACTCTTCTTTCCAGCTGTCACAATGCCCCGAGAACCCGTCTGTGGCGCCCCTGGTTAGAGAGCTGTTCCTATACCATTGCCACTTGAGAAAGCCAGCTGGTAAGCTGGTCAGAAGTTACTGTCCCGTGTCTGCCCCGTGGCACTTCCACACCTTATACCATGGATTTATTTCTAGAAGTCTTTAAAATGTACTTCATATTGCAGAAGAATCCTTGCCATTTTTTTTTTCTGTTGCAAATTTACGTGAGCTGCCCAGTCTCCCTCTAAAAGGAGAAACCGACACGCGTGGCCTGACCTGTTGAGCTGCGCCATGCGGGCGCATGGATGCAGAAACGGGTCTCAGACCTTTATAGCTTCCTGAAAACAGAAGGCAAATGGAGCTTAGTCTTTGGAACCGAATGTTGGTGGTTTGTGATTTGTGCTTGTTTTTTCACGTATTTATCAAGCTCCCCACACAAGCTGTGGAAGCAGCACAGAGGTTCTGAGTCAGAGACTTTTACATTGTTATGCAAGATATATTCATTTTAAATGACTTTGTACCTTCCAAGGATGTTGACATGACATCTTCCCAATGATTTTTCAACCTTTTTTTTTTTTTAAAAAAAAAAAACTTGGTTTGGTGAGTCAACTACCTAACTATATGGTGGCAATGCTGATTTCTATAGAGTAGCACTGACCTCTAGTGGCTGATTCCAGTAACCACAATGGTTCAAACATTTTTAGGGATTTTTTTTGTTTTGTTTTGTTTTGTCTTTTTTTCTTTTGTGAACTTATTGGCAGCACAGGTTCCTCTGCTCTGTGCATCTTACTTAATGTTAGCTTTCCTGTGAAGTATAATTATCATGGCTATTATCAAAGTTATGTGTGCTTGCTTATTTTCTCAGTGATAACGGAAAGAAAACGCATAAAACTGGCATTGAGAGCTGGAAATCAGTGCCAAAGACACAAAACAAACAGTAATGCAATAAAAAAAATAGATAAGTGATTTAAGCTTCTGTATTCATCTATATTAGCCAGCATAGTCTTTGAGAGCTTCTTTGAGTCTTATTATTGTTCATGGTCAGGATCAGGAAACAGGGTGACTTAGGCTGGGGAGATGCCCATATTGCTATCCAGAGACTCAGGATCGATTCCTGCTGGTCAGTAGATATGGCAGGCTATATCCAGAGAGGGAGGCCTCCTCTCGGGCATGTGAACTGCTCTCCAGTTTGTTGATCATGTCAATGACCTGTGCTTCGTCCCCTGGGCTTTCTCCCTCCTCCTCCCTCCCTCCTTTGCAGCTAGCTAAACAGTGGTGCTATTAGGCTCTCTGACAAGGATGGTACAGTCTAAGAGGCGATGATTCATGGATAATGAAATTATGCTCTCCTTCTGGGGAAGAAGAATGCAGCGTCACATTCACAGCCTTGGCAGGGGATGTTGGGATGCTGTAGGTGCTCGGAGCATCTCTTCCTTTGACATTTACCAATATGAGAACACAAATTGCTTACTTAAAATGTGGATTAGGCAAGCATCGGCTAGGAGTCCTAGCCCAATGTGCTGAAGGCAGAATGAGTTCCATGCACAATAAATGAGAACTGAGCCATGATAAATAAAAAAAAATTCTAACGCCAAGAGCTTCTTCTTTTTTTGTTTTTTTTCTCGGGGTTCTAATAAGGATCCAGAGCTGTAGCTAACCCTGGGCACCTTCCTGTCCTTGTATTCTCTTTGCTACAGATGTTAAAAAACAATGAGCATTTAGGACAAACCCTGGCTGGAAGAATACTACTAGCAAATTTGAAAACCAAACATCATAAAAGAAACAGAATACCTGTGTATTAAATAGTGTGTGGTAAATGGCTCATAAACGTTAACCAAACACCATCACCCTCTACATATAAGTGAAAGTCACCGTCTCCTTAGCCATAGGAGTCAAACAAACTGGACCTGAATTTTACTTAGCCTCCAAAATCATTGGTGGTTTTGGATAATTGGATAGACTGTGATAAGAATCCTACAAAAGGAAACTATACGTTAATTGTATTTCACATGGGGAAAAGATATCACAGCTGTGCATGACAAAATAGAAAGTCTAGAAATTAAGACCTACTTCCATTTTCTCTGACATTTGCTAAGTCAACTCAGGTACATTTCTCAACTTTTCAAAATTGGAAGACGCCCACACACAGACTGGCTTGCACTAATGACTGCTCGCGGTTTTGGGAAAAGTGAATGTCAAAAGTTCTTTTCCTCAATGATCCCTGTTGGTTTGTTTCTTTCGTTGTTTTTGACACATCACTTAGTGAGATGTTCCAGCTGTTTACTGCTGTTCTATGTTTTGTGCGGGTCAAAAAGTAAAAGAACTTTGTACCAAGGAATCTAGAACTTACACCTTTGACTCCCAAAAAGATAAAGATTCTTCATGTTGAATTACTTTATATCCAGCTCAGGGGATAAAAGAAAAGCTATGATTTTTATCGATAATCA